GTGGGGGGTTGTATACCAACTTCAGTGACACTAACGTTAATAAGTTCTGATAATTCATTACCATCAAACCAGCCCTAAGCTGTTATTAGTCATCACTTTGGACAAGTCATTTCACCTCTCTGAGCCTCAGTTTCCTGGTATGAAAAATGAGAGACTGTTTGTGAAAGAGCCTGACTCACAGTAGGTACTCGGTAAACATACCCCATCTCCTGGACAAAGCCTTTTACCCCTGAATTCAGCCAAGGTAAGGTGGAATTTTTCAAAAGGAACTTGTGGAGAAACTCTGGGGAAAGGAAATGGAGCACAAACACATGAGCAGGGAGGTCATGGAGCGCAGCAGCTGGATTTGCGGATTTCCACATCCCCAGGGCAATGTGACTAGAACTTTGCTCCTAGGAAGGTAAAGACATCTTGGAGGCAGGTGAGAGTTTGAAGGACTTCCTTGTCCTGGGCTTGCCCCATCACAGAGTCCAGGGGCAGTGCTGGAGCTAGAAACACACTCCAGTTGTCCTGCCAAGGTCCTCACTACTCCTTCTCTGTGCCCACTAAGGTGAACGCAAAGAGGATGTCTTTACCAGAAGAAAAAAAGCAGTAAAAGCATGATGATAAATGGCAGCTGACCTGTGGCATCAGGGTCCAGGAGAAAGTGGGGAGAAATAGGGACCTTGGTAAACTTGCAGCTGCTCCAGCAGATGGTTGCCATTAAGACATGGCGGTCCAAAAAACAGAGCTTTCATTTTTTTAAGAGAAGCCAAAACTTGGAGTTTTAGGAAAATTTGCTCATTTTCAAATATTGGTAATTGATTCAAATTGTTTAAAAACACCATAGGTCCAGGCCAGGTGCGGTGGCTCACGCCTATAACGCTAGCACTCTGGGAGGATTGCTTGAGAGCAAGAGTGAGACCCCGTCTCTACTAAAAATAGAAAATATTAACCGGGCTTGGGGTGGTGGCATGCGCCTGTAGCCCCAGCTACTCGGGAGGCTGAGGCAGGAGGATCTTTTGAGCCCAGGAGTTTGAGGTTGCTGTGAGCTAGGCTGAAGCCATGGCACTGTAGCCCGGGCAACAGAGTGAGACTCTGTCTCAAACAAACAAAAAAACACTATAGGTCCAAACCAAAGTGGGTCTGTGGGCTATATTTAGACTGGGTTTAGACTATGAGTTTGCATCCTTCACTCTGGCCACGGGTGTTTGGTTTCCTGGCCTATGTCCTCCAATCCTGATTTTAAAATGTGAGAGATCCTTGAACTCAATCCTCTGCTGACAAAAAAACAAAAAAATAAAATAAAATAAAATGTGAGGGATCCATAGGTAGAGGCCTCCTAGGGGCAAGGCCTGGGGAAGAGGGGTCTTTGTTGGCCAGGGTCCAGCCACAAGCTTTGCCAGAGCAAAATTTCTACTTTGCCAGGACCCTAGAAGGGTTTGGTCTTTGGGGACTGCTTGTCACAATCTTTTCTCAGGAGACTGAAGGAGGAACTAGAGGCTGTGTGTGCCATTTAGAACTAGGGAGCTAGGTCTTTGCTGTGACCATGCAGTTCTCCAGAGCATTTCTTCTTGGGGTCCACATGCCAGAAGCTTGCCAGGGAGGCCAGGACCAGCACAAAGGGAGTGAGCCAGCCCAAAGACTATTTCATCTGGGTCATGAACCTTCTCAGCCCCAGGCAGGGTCTGCTTTGCTGGGGGCCGGAGTCCACTTGGCTTCCTCAGGCAGTATCTCATGTGCCTGGTCTCAAAACTGGAGAAACCTCACCGCTATCCTGGTTGTGGACTCCTATCCTGTCCTGGGCCCTGCCCATGCTGTCATTCCCATCAGATAATAATGATCACAGGTACCCTTTGTGAAGGCTCTCCTACCCAGGCGCTACACTTGGTGCTTTTATATGCGCTATCTCATTCAATCCTCGAAACTCTGTGAGGTAGGAACAACTGTTTACTCTATTTTCCAGATGAGGAAACTGAGGCTCAAAGAGGTAAGGTGGCTCACCCAAGGTCCCACAACTAACGTGTGTGTGTTATTGAGCGTTAATCTATACCAGGCGCTCTGAGTGGTCTAGAGCACTGACATTCGGCAGGTATTGCGTATGTGGCCTTACCATTGATGGAGACCAAGATTCTTTTGGATTGGTGTGGACACCATGCCAGTTAAATATTCCGGACATCACCCCTGTCTATGGGCTTCCAATGCCTGGAGCCTTGATGTCCTTTCTCTCATCAACCTCCAGGGATGACCAATCCTGAGGTGATTCAGAACCTGGAGCGAGGCTACCGCATGGTGCGACCTGACAACTGCCCAGAGGAACTGTACCACCTGATGATGCTGTGCTGGAAGGAGCACCCAGAGGACCGGCCCACCTTTGACTACCTGCGCAGCGTGCTAGAGGACTTCTTCACGGCCACAGAGGGCCAGTACCAGCCTCAGCCTTGAGAGGCCTAGCGGGCCCAGGGTCCTCCCTGCATCGTGCCAACCGGGCTTGGGGAGGTGGAGTTCTTGTGCCATACCCACATGGCCTAAGCACATATGCACTCTGCACACGAATCCTGCCCACGTGAGACACATATGCATCTTGTGTCTTGTTACATGCCTCCTGTACTTGTGTGGACTCTGCATATGTATGTTGTACATGTGTAGCCTGTGCATGTGTGTCTTGGAAACTGTCTAAGGTGTCCCTTTCTGGGCCCTCCCGTTTCCTGAGACCACAGAGAGAGGAGAGAGGCCTGTGATTGACACCAGCTTCTGCCCCCACCCCCTTTTCTTTTCTCAGGTCATCCAGGAGCTCCTTGAGGGCTGGGACCTGATCTAATACCTCTTGTGTGCTCCTCCTTCGTGCCTGGCACATATCAGGAGCTCAATAAATGTCTGTTGATGAAGGTCGTGCATCTCTGTGCTGTACATTCCCATCTCCTTTCCCTTGCTGGGGGCAGTATGGGTTCAGAAGATGCAAACAGAGTCACCCTGAGTTGGGGTAAAAGATGGAATGAGTGGATATCTGAACTTTTTCCAGTCCCGGTGATGCTGGGGCAAAGAGAAGGTCCGTACAACTCTGCTGTATGGGCTCTGTGAACGCTTTCAAATGGGACAGTGCTCCAGACCCCCTCCCCAAAGGATTCAGGGCTACCCCCACCTCCCCACCTGGAAC